TGTTTTAGTCGCCACACCCTTCACTTTTTATCCACTCTGACTACTAAATTAATACCAGAAGGAGCATCTCCTCAATTAGAAGTCAAACACTAATAAATATAGCTACAAATTTGATTGCAAAGTCGTTTATTCTTCGTTAATATCGACACAAAATGTCTAACGTCTCCCTCGCTTCATACAATAGGTTCCATTTAGGTCATACGTTACTTAGATAATCTCTTATAAAGCAATCCTCGCCTGATATATGATACCTATCTGTCGAACACGTGACTAATGGAGACACGTAACGTAAGCGCGGTAGAAAGGATTCGGTTTCGCAGACCACGTGGTCACGCATCAGAACCACACGCCCTCGGTTAAACGTAGCTACGTGCGGTTCGATAGCCATAATTTTATAACCCATCTATAAAAATGGCAGGCGGATAAAAGCTAGCGGGGGGTCATAAAATCGAACTTCGTCAAAATAGTCTCATTTTTCGTATGTAAATGAAGTAGTTTTGTAACGACCTTCATGCTTATGTCGTCCTTGAAGAGTAACGCATAAATGACCGCCAATAAAATGTTATATATTCGAACATATTTAATAAGAATTATACTTTATCCTCGTATAAATATTCCTAATTATATTTTAATATTGTTACATTTTGAATCACGTGTAAAAAATTTCCTGTATAATAAAATGTCCTTTGTTCTCTCGTGTTTAACTCTTTACTAATATCTAAGTTTCTATTGAATCCTGTTTATAAAAGCATTCACAGACTCATTTTTAAGCGTGATTCAGATGCGGTTTTTAAACTATGTATCGAAAATAAATGAAAAAAAAAATTCTAAGAAATTATAAATTCTAAACAATACGTCTACTTTAGATAAATTTTGTAACAGAATTTGCTACAAATTGTCACAAAATTTTTAACATCAGAGAAGTTTACGTAACGGCGATTGTTTTTAATGAATCCAGTAGAAAAAAAAATCCTCAAAATTTCGTAACTTATTTTTTTTTATAACGTTGTTTACAGTATTTTAGTTACGTCTAGTTAAACACAATCTGTACAATTCACCCTTTATTAAGATGTTACTTCAATTAAGAAAAGGAGATTAGAACCGCAGACTAAATGTTTTTTTTTTTTTTGTTTCCTCGATTGCAGGATGTAAAAAGTTATCTTTGTTTTTTTTTGTTATTTACAATTACATTGGTTTGTTTCTGTATAGAAAAGGCACATAAATATTCTTCTATAGCAGTATCTATCCTCAATACTTTATGTAATAAAAAATCGATGTGTGTCGTCACGAATAACTACAAGAAAGTTGCCACGTCTATCCCACTTGTCTATAGGAAGGAAAAACACTAGCTAAATCGTTTTTGATAAATACTTCCTATTAATAATTCGTTATAATTAATCGTTAAGATTCCCTCCGAATTTTTCCCTTTTATTTTTGTTATCCTCTTTACATAATTCGTAAAAATATTTACGCATTTATGAAGATTTGATTAAAATTTGACGTTAAAAAATTAATCCCTTTGGGAAATTTTATATAATTTCTTCGACTTTATAAAGAGAAACTTAAAAATTTAAGCTAATTTTTTAATATCAAAATCATATAGTAAATTAGTAATTTTCTTTACTATTTAACATGTGGTAAATGAGTATAAATCAACGTGATTAAGTTGTAAAAAAAAAAAAAAAGTTAATTACAAAAGTATATAGAAGTGATTTATTTATTATATTTTATTTTATTGCCTTTAAGTAGAGTTAACAGTCAAAGAATCGAATTTAAATTATTATTTTAATAATAATAATAATAAAGTTATACATAAACTNTTTTAGAATCTAGCAAACCGCTGGTGGCAGCACGCGTGTCGATTCCAGCGCGGTACGATCAGCTGTGCCCGATGCGATCCGCTTTCGGACGGTCCAGTCGAAGTCCAGGGGGGTGGAAGGTCGTCTCACACTCGAAATCGGCGCGATTCGTCGACCACTCGACTCTTCGTCCTCCTCCGGTTGCCAAATTTCGTCATTGCCTCGCGAACGTTTTTTAAAAAATGTATAAGATATATTTATTTTTAAAAATTTATGATATTCCCTGTTGCTTTTGGGGAAGTTAACAACAAAAAAAGATAATAATTTCTCTACATTTATCGAGAAATAAATAAATAAAAACGTTTCCTGCCAATATTTTACATTTAAAAAGTTCTTTTGAAGTCATTTTTTTTATAGTTCTTTCCTTATAAATTATATTTTTTAAGCGATAAAAAGGCGATTCGAAACTGAAATTTCCATCCTTTTTTTTCAGTTTCCAGCTTCCAAAACACATAATAATTAAGGAAATTATGATGAAACACGATCGAGTCGAATTACTTCTTGATGTAAATTCCAGATTAACGTATACAAACGCAACAAAGAAGGCATTCACTCCAATAAAAAGAAGTTTGTTAATAAAGGCCCAACTGTACTAATTAATCGACGTCTTCAGAAAGAAAAAAAAAACCATTACAAAACCGACAAACACCTCAAAAAAAATGATTAAAAATTAATTTTAAGAGCTCTTCTATACGTTAAACTGTTCAGTTTTTGGTAGAACGAACTTTTTTGGAAGTTCAGAAATTAATTTCCAAAGTGTGAACCAAATTAAAACGAAAAACCCAATTTGTTTATAAATTAAATTAATCGAGTTTCGAATTAAAGGTTTAAAGTTTGATTGATAGAAATTTCAGAAAAATATTTAAAAAGAAAGAAATTTTAAAATATGAAAAGTTTAAAAAGAAGAAATAAAAAAACAAAAGCAATTTTCTAGTTAAATTTATTGCCTTATTTGAGAATCACCACACAACAAAAACTTATAAATGATCAGATATTGGGAGTTTTTTCCAAGAATAAATCAAAAAGAGTGAAAGAAGAGAAGAGAAAAAACAGGCAATGTAATAATACTCGTTTAGTTGATTGATACGGATTCATATTTTCTATCAGTAGGCAGATACACAATGCACGTAACACTTAGTCGAAACACTCGTCACCAATAACATCCTGCCAATAACCACGTAGTGCACGTCAGCCATAACTCGGCATCGTTAGCTTCCATCTTGGATATTTTGGCTGGGTCGTCCAACGTCCGATTTTTGATCGACGACCTCCAAAATTCCACCCCCCTCTCGTCTCATTCTCCTACCAGCTCTTCCTTAAATAGAATCCTCGTTATATATATATATAACTGTTTAATTTTATTAACTATCAATAATGAAAGAGTATTGTTTTCAAGGTCGACTCCATTAAAAGAATACCATTTTTTTTAAAAAATATATATATATATTTGTTTGTTTTTAGAATGGGTCCTCGAAAGTTAAATGATACTCGCGCGAAAGACAATTTTCGGGTATTTAAACTGATTTTATTACGGGATTGGTCGGTTTTAAAATGGTTTTTAAAAAAAACGGATTCGAAATCGACCAATCCGAAACGAGAACGACCGAAACGTAAGCGAGCAATTTAAATGCGATAACAATAATCTAAGAACATTAAATTCTTGGACAATATAAGCAAATTAAACGTCGTTATGTCGGAAAAGTCATTTTGTATCTCGTTAAACATGCTCCACATTGAAGTAGGCCTGCAATTTACTCGTTGAACGAAAGGAAACGTCAAGAAAGAAAGAAAAGAAAAAAAAAAAAAACAAACACGCGTTTTCGTCACACGGCTTATGGCCGAATCGACTTTCAGCCAAAGATGAAAAGCTAATTATTTAAATTGCGAATATGATGATAAAAAAAAAATCCGCCATTAAAAAGAATCTTTAGAGATAATGTAACGCTTCCTTCCGCTTAACGACTCCAATAATTAAAAACAAGAAATCAAATGAACGAATTTAAATCGCGTATTAATCTTGCACATCCCGTACGAACGGGGCCATTCGGTTACGATGTTATTCTCGCAACTATGTACGCGTTAATGTTGCAAATGCGTTACGCTTCGGACACGTAACTTTACCGGATCAGGCGCGATTCCAATTACGAACATTTATTCTGTACGCGTACAGTTTATGCTAAAATTTCGATGATAGATTATATCTAGAAGAAACAGGACCGACTGGTTCCTCGGCGAGATGAGCTACACACCGAACGTCTTCAGTCGGTCCTGAAATATCGAATTCTACCTTCGAGTGACTGAAATTATATTAAAAAAAAGAATGGTCGCATACGTAACTTATCGTCACGCGTCACAACGTAGGGAAGAGGAAAAATAGCAGAAAGGTTACAGGGTAATCTGGTGGAAAGTTTGTCATTCCGAAAGCGTTTTCCCTCCTCTATCGGTTAGACTGAAGAATTCCTACGAGAGACGAATGTAAAGTTTGTGGTCTACTAACTGGTTTTCGGGGTCGTAATGATTTTGCTACTTTTTTACACTGACACGGGCTAAATACTTCTCTCGATCGAAGCGTTTTTAAATGGGAGCATTACACCGAGACGGGCCACGTTACCTTCCGCACCGCAGACAAATTTGGGCAACCTTCGGTTCGGAAGAATTGTTTCCACTTCCTCCATCCCACAAAGGTCGCGACCTCCTACCGGAACCGGATACTGACATTTTTTGGGGGTTTTTTAATGCGTTACGCCACTTAACGGAGATCGGGAAAGCTCCAGAATGGAAATAACTCGAGGTCAATTGATAAGTCGACGATAAGTGGTGCGTCCGAGTTAGCGCTCGAGTCGTTACGATAAGCCGGAAACGAGAAGATATTTTACTCCCTTTTAAACTTTTCGGAAAGGTAAATCAACCCTAATTCGACTTATTTCGTGTTACATGCGATTATTTGCGTTATGCACGAACCTCTTGCCATTGTAGCAAGGTACTCGTAACGTCACGCCAGCCAATCATTACATTTTCCCTATACAGTGTATCTTAATAGTTACTTCCATCGTAACGCGCGCGCAAATGCGCCAAGTAATAAAAGTTGGTTACGGTGTAGTATTAAAGAAATGTTTGGCAAGTGGGAAAAGAGTATCTTACCTAAACAAACGAAGAGAGTCTGCAGCAACACGATCCAATCTCGGGACGACTTCATGGGAGATTTTTGAGCGTGGTAAAGCTGCGAATTGCTTCTCTTCACGGTCGTCGGCATCCGTAAAAAAGCCCTTGGACTGCCCACTTCTCCATTACACAGTCTTTCGCACGAAAGAAACGGGTGAACTCAGACAACTTTTAAGTTTTAGAATCTAGCAAACCGCTGGTGGCAGCACGCGTGTCGATTCCAGCGCGGTACGATCAGCTGTGCCCGATGCGATCCGCTTTCGGACGGTCCAGTCGAAGTCCAGGGGGGTGGAAGGTCGTCTCACACTCGAAATCGGCGCGATTCGTCGACCACTCGACTCTTCGTCCTCCTCCGGTTGCCAAATTTCGTCATTGCCTCGCGAACGTCCACAACAGAAGGAAGCTCGCGCTATCAGACTCCACTTCATCCAGTTAAAAACGGGACGTACCAATATGGCGGCGCAGGGACGTCGGGCAGGAGTGCGCGCCGATGGTAAACTTTTATACCACTCTGTTCCGCTTCCGAGCGTCCTACCGACTGAGTCTAGAGCTTGAAGCCGGGACGGGGTGATTCCGTCTTCGATACGTCAGAGGTCACGTGCCTCGACACCTGTCGGATCGCGTAACCAGATTGGACGACGTTTGGGAGGATTCTCTACTACGCCCGCCGAAAGACCAGTTTCGGGAGGTTTTTATCTGGATACGAAGGACCGTCAAGCCCTACAAATCCTCACTGTTTGTCGGGATTCTCTTCGGAATTATTCTAATTACGCACTCTCGTTACCTAGCAACGTGACACGTACGTTACGTCGACGCGATATTTGCATCCTGTAGGTTTTTTTTATTTATTTATTTTTAAAAAAACGTTGCACGCAAACGCGCGCGATCCACGCCAGACGCCAGATAATTACGTGGATAAAAATAATGTATCGAGATATAAAATATGTAACTACAGACGTTACCGTTGGGCAGGTTAGAATCGGGCAACATCGCATTTCTGAAATTGTGTCGAGCTCGTCGATGATCGTCGATAACGTCACGTTTGTATATTGCCAATCTATACCAAACGGATAATAGGATTCCGCTCGTAACTCATCTCCATGTAAATAGACCTTACGTCTTGTCATTTTTACCCTATTTTATCTGGAATTATTTTGTTTTATCACGCCTCTGACTTTATTAATTATCCTTTTTCGTTCTAAAAATTCGTTTTCCGTAAAATTGTTAACGTTTATCGACTATTCCTGTTATTTACGTAACGTTACTCCGATACGTGAGCGTTACTTTCGTATCGCGTTACTCCAACCATAAAATTGTTGGCTTATTTTTTGTGGTTTTTGGATAGTGACGAATAGTTTAAATCGTATTTTCCTAAAGATTAAATTTCTATTTTTCACTCGGATTCTCCATGTTTTTTTTCCTATCTGTTTTTAGTGAATAAAATTATATCTCATTTCCCTTAAAATATAAAGTTATTATTACTTGTTTTTTCGTCACAACTTAATCTCGTCTAATGGTACTTTTCTAATCTTTTCCGAATAATAAAATAATGGCACTTCCTTCGTAGTACATGTCGCGGTATTATATTACTTAGTAAATTATAGGATCTCCCTCCACAGTTTGTACACCTTTAGTAAAGTTCAGATAAGATATAAAGTTATACTGCTTATCTGCATAATATTCTTATCGTCCTTCAAGAAATATAATTATGGTACGTTCTTTACGTTGCTCTTTCTCGGAGTACTTCCATTATGGAACAGAATTATGGCGCATCGTTAAAGCCTTTCTAAGTAATAAAATTACATTTACACGTAACAATAACAGGTCCGTAACAGGCCTTGATGCAAATGACGGTCACATCTCCTCATTTAACTCTTAACTTTATCCTAGAGTCGTCTAAGTGGCGACTTTCGACACCTAATAATTACTCGGCCGGTTGTAAATCTAGACTCGGTTATACGTCATCATTTTCTAACCTTTCCGTAATAAATTCGTCATAATTGTCGTCTCCGGCGTAAATCACAAAAGAAAATTTGGAATTTTTCTGCTGGCGGATTCGAACTCGGACTCCACTTCTTTCTATCGATACTTAACGACTATTTTAATATCCTAAAGTATTTAATTATCTTCGAGATAATTCTTTGAGCAAATATTGAATTAAATAAAATAAACATTTATCATAGCGATAAATATATAACTAATTTGTAACGTAAATATTTATCGCTTCGAACTTACTGAATTATGAACTAAAATTCAAAATCTTGTCGACATCTTTAACTACTTGTAAAACAAATTAAAACAATTCTTCAACTTTAACAATTCTTATATTTATTTTATTATTTATTTTTAGAAAGTATACTTTTATCTCTCTGTGTTTTATTCAAATATTAATAACTTATAACTTTAAATGGCAACTTTGTTGTTTTTTTTCCTTAAATAAAGTTATTTTTAGTATAAAGAAAATAATTTATTCGCTTCTTGTAAGATTACATTTCAGAATTTTCTAAAAGGTTTTTTTTAATGAATATAAAGAACATAAGATACTTCTAAGAGTTTATTGATATCAGATTATATTTACCTTTATGTATATTATCGTGTTGAAGATACCGGATATAATGTATTTTATTTGTTACTTTATTTGTACAATGCTTTAAAGATTATCCGCAGAAAAAAGTATTTTACTTTTAAAAATCTTTATATATATTTTTTTTTATTAAACACGAATAAAAGCATAACTTTTACTATAAATACATGTAGGACTCTTCTTTTAAAGGCACGAACTATTCAATTTTCGAGACTTTAAGTATATAAAGTTGAATTTTGAAGCCTCCAGGCCCCTCCGATGTAAGCCTGTAGGATATATAGTTTACATTAAGCGTAGGTTTTCAGTTTAACGTATTGAAAGGACGACTTATTGTCACAATATTAATGTGATTCGTGACCCGTAGATCGCGGTCTACTAATTTAGAATCTCGCACGCGAGTAAGATACCTTCGGGGAGAAATGCAATAATTCGAAATAAATTATAATCAGTTTAAAATCATTGGCTTATTTTAAAAAAAAAAGTTATACAGTTATATTTAGAATGAAGGAGGTTATAAGGTTAATGTTTTGGTATAGACACAAACACAAGTTATGTAGATAATGTACATAAAAAAATCTTTATACTTATAAGGCTCGTGAATTAAATTTTTCCTCCTTTCAAGAAAAATCAATAAGTATTTTATAAAGTTTATTATATAATATAGATACGGAGCTATTTTAAAGTCAATCACAAAAAGCATTTACTGTTAAAATGGAAGACATATCCGGAACAGTTAAATCGAATTTTTATATGATCCATATAAAAAAAAATTAATAAGAAAAGTATAAAAAGGTACCCGGCAATAAATTGTTTAAATAACTAAATCAGTTTTGTTTTATATTCAAAAACGTTTTAAAAACGTGTTACATAAATATGAAAGACTTCTACAAAAATCTCAATAGATCAATAAAAGGTTAAGTCAGTGACGATGAGAGAGCCAACATTTTTATGGACATTTTAAAAGGATTTTTTTGCTATAAAAGTTTAAAATAGAGAAGATATTTGAATATCAAATTTTTTTAAAATTTAAGAGAGTATTGCTACAATTTTAAAAGGATCGGAATTATAATTTTTTTTGTTGTTGTTGTTTTTTTTAGATCAATACAAAAGATTCGGTTTATCTGTCTTTGCATCTTTAAAGTAGAAACAGCTTAGAAACAGGCTTACGTAAGCATGGAAATGGTGTGTAACACATTGATTCAATATGTTACAAGGAGAGAAAGACGAAGGAAGAAATTGGCTTCCGACTTTCGTTTGAATAAAATCCGTTCGGTTATTAAATAATACAGTTTAATGGTAAGTGTACGAAACGAGCATTTGTTATATATATTAATAATAAAACAGTTGAATAAGCATCAAGCGAATAATTTGTGACTATTAACGATGCGATTCTACAAAAGACAAATTAAAATTTTATTAACGTATTGTTCGCCAAGTTATAATGGATGCCTTTAGAGGAAACTTAATTAACTTGCAAATTGGGAATTATAAAATAAATTGGCTCGAATAATATCGTGTTTATTATAGAAATTGAAATACAAGGTCTATATTTTTTTCCTTCCTACTCTTAACGTGAGATGAACTTTATAAAAGTAATCTACGACATACCGAACATCATAATATATTAACATTCTATATTTTATTAAATATAATTTATATATATCTAAGTTATAAAATTAATTATAAAATATTTATATATTTTTCTGGAAGTGTAAGATTTGTTTCTGAAATTTGTATGAGTCGTTCTATGCCGATACATTTTTTTACAACTATAACTGTAGGAAATTGTATTTGGAAAATCGGAAATTCTTATTATAATAAATTAACTCCGGTACGACTTTATTGGGGTAATTCTAAATTTTTCACGATTGAAATTGTCATATCGATCTCGTAAGAAAACTCTTCTTTCGACTAACTTAAATGTAATACACTCGGAAAAATCTTATCATAAAATGAATTAAACATTAAAATCCGAATTTAAAGTTAGAATGTATCACAATAATAAAGATAAATGATTATATTCGTCATCCAAATATCTTCCAAGTTCGAAATTCCACTTCTTACATTTAAATATAATGTACTGTACTGTACAATGTACACGAAAAAGTGTACGTTGTACAGTACTGTACCTTAAATTAATTATATATATATATATAAAAAATAGTTTAAACGAAATTCCAAGAAGAAATTAATTTATAGTTAAAATAATTGCAATATTTTGAATTTATTCGGTTTTATTTTTGAACAATGTTTTACGTAGTGTTTAAATATTCAGTAAATGCAGACAACTTCTATAATCTGGCAAAGGCCGAAAAGACGTAAATTGTCATATGACATCACGGTGGATTTTTGCCAAAGTGACTGACGTTAGATTTGTTTAAGTTAAAACTACACAATGCCGAATCGAGCAATTAAGATATTTCGACAAGAGACTTAAAATTTCTATTTTTTTTTTTCCCTTTACTTTGTTTACAAAAAAAATAAGGATCTATTTTAGAACGAAGAAAAAAAAATTCTACTTACATTTAACTCTTTTTGTAATAACTTAAAGAGAAAACAAATAATTTACGGTAAAATGACATTTATTCTTCGATTTCAGACTAAATTTTATGTGTATTTTATGTAAATTTTTTAATATAAAATTGTAATAAATTTCTTTATTAAAGGTAATAATTTTTTAATTCATTTTTTTGAGGAAAATATTTTTAAAAATTAAACGAATTTTAAATCTTGCTACAAATTGAACTCGGGCGGAAATGTACTGTACGGTAATAAATCTNCTTTTCTTAACCTCAAAAACTCGGAGCTTGTAACTGTAGATACAGAAACTATGGTGAAGATATAAACTCTAATCCTACACAATTTATGTATTACGTGAGCATATTTTTTTTTTAAATTTTAATTTTATCATTCCGCAATTATCCAATAAAATTGTGTATTTATTTATTTTTTAATTTTTGGGAA